AAAGGCGGGTGTAGACGGGGGGTTTTTCCTTTCCACCATCCAAAGAGGTAGGAGAGTGACTGCCCAGCGCGTGCGATGTACACCCGATGAACGGATTATTAAAGAAAGGTAATAACCAGGAGGCGCAGGTTTGCCAGGTCGACTCTGCACATACTTTGTTCTTGAGTCAAATTTGGGTGTTTTATTTTAATGGAAAGGGGAAAAAAAACTTTTCAGACAGAGAAGCCTAATTTAAGAAGGAAAAATGTTAACTCCTCTTCTTTCTATGCTAATTATATTCCTCCCTTCCAGAAAATTGACTTCAGATTTATTCTGATTTTTAAGAATCAGTTCCGTTTTTTAAAAACTGAGTCAGTGGCATGGGGTATCATGATGTGAATCCAACTTTTTAAAGTTCCTTATCATTTATTCCCAACTCTGTGCTTCTGAAAAGTTTCTTGAATTTTTTTTTTTAACACCCTGTCATGTAAGAGGTGAGGGAGGCTCCTGAACCTTTTCAGAACAGAAGGCCCACTTTCTGGCTGCATGTTCTTAGGTAAAATAAGCACTTGGAAATGGGAGAAGGTTGTCTTATGGAAGATAATGACCCGAAGGAAAGAAAAGCTAATCTGCCTTCTTTCGGTTTAATGGAGAAAATGGGTCCATAAATGTTTAAACAGAAGTAGAGCCCTTTGAAATAGATCAAAATGTGACATCTCTAGGCCATCTGTGCTTTAATGTAGAGTATAAGGCTGTGTTTCTTAAACCAGCTCTAAAATTTCTCTCATTTTCTATTAATGGAGTGGGGGCAGGGGAATATTCATTTAATTGAACAGAGTCGCTTTGGGGATGGAGCCCCAACGCTCTGTGTGAGCACAAGACTAATAACCCTGATTTTTACAGGCATCGTTCTCTGGGTTTACCTCTTGGAAAATCACAGTGAATATAATGGGCCTGCAGACTTACTGGGATGCACATATCAAGTCCTCGTAGATGGAGAGGGAGAGCCCCAAATCTGCTCACACTTAACAATTGGACTTCTTGAAATTGCCAGTGTTATTCATGTTCAATTCTGTGTAAATAATTCAGATTATTAATATTTCTGAGGATTTGGTTGAAACAGCAAAACCTAGCTGGGACTGTCTAAGCCAAAGGAAAGCTTGTTTCAGGAATATTAACTCATGGTTTACTTGTTTCGTTTCTCATGATTTTTATTATTATTATTATTATTATTTTCTTTTCAAACCAGGTGAGCGCCTAGATCTATGAGGATGGAACAGAAGAGCCTATGGAAGACTCGCAGTGGTGCTACAGCAATAGGCCTTGGCCATGTAAAAGTGCTTACAGTGCAGGTAGCTTTTTGAGATCTACTGCAATGCAAGCACTTCTTACATTACCATGGTGATTTAATCAATGGCTACTGAGAACCGGAGTCTGTGCATAATTAAGTTGTGGATGCTTTGGAGCTGCTCCTTCGAATGTGTCTCTTGTGTTAAGGTGTATCTAGTGCAGTTAGTGAAGCAGCTTAGAATCTACTGCCCTAAATGCCCCTTCTGGCACAGGCTGCCTAATATACAGCATTTGCAAACTATGTGTTGAGTCATTTGAATAGGACACATGTCAATGGTTCCATTTTTTGCTTTTTCATTGTTTGCCGGGAACAGATGGTGGGGACCGTGTGTGGTGTACACTCGGGTACAAAGGATAAGATTGGGTCCTGGCAGTACCAAAGTGCTCATAGTGCAGGTAGTTTTGGCATTACTCTACTGTAGTGTGGGCACTTCCAGTACTCTTGGATAATGAATCTCTTGTTGATGGAGACTGTGCCAAGACACTGCTACTTACAGTTAGTTTTGCAGGTTTGCATTTCAGCGTATATATGTGTATATGGCTGTGCAAATCCATGCAAAACTGATTGTGATCATGTGTGCTTTCTCCGTCTTTGTGGACACCTTCACGCGCATCTCCAGCATTCGGACCCGTTCATCTGTGGGTGGGGATTTGTTGCATTACTTGTGTTTTAGAAAAAGTATTGCACTTGTCCCGGCCTGTGGAAGAAAGGAGGATTTTATCATCATCTTATTTTAATTTTTGAAAGCTGTAAATGCCGATGGTTTTTCATTGTAAAATGACCTGTTTTGCTGTTGTCGGGTGGATCACGATGCAATTTTGATTAGTATAATAGGAGAAAAATTGCACGGTATCCATCTGTAAACCGCAGGACCTTTGCTGGCGACATTTTTGATCAGTATTGAAGTAAGATGGTAAAATCCTTTCTCTCCTTACTGCAGTGAAAAAATGTTTTTGAAATGTATTTGGATTTTTTAAAAAGCATGATAAGTATTTGAAGTAAAATGTATTTGTAATTTTGAAATGTGTGTTTTGGTAATTCGGAGAATGATCAGATTGATACTGAATATAAATGGACCTCAGATTTGCAAAATAAATGGAATTTGTAGATCTAAAACAGTTAGACTCTGGGTTTTTTTCAAAGATGAACAATGAGGATTTAAAAAAAAACGATTTCTGAGTGGTAGGAGTCCTAAAGGAAAACTTAGACATAGATGTTTTTCTTTTTTTTTTTTTTTTAAAGAATTATTCATTTGGTTTTATTTATCATCACTATTTATTTTAAAATTTGACCAAAGAGAGAGAGAGAGAGGGAAAGTGAGAAAGCAAGCTGCCATGTCAAAGAATTGAACTGTGGTTAGCCATGCGGGAGTCTAGCGCCCCAACCACCGTACCATCTGCCGGTCCCACTTTTCTTTTTTAAAAACATTTTTTGTTCACATTTAATCACGGTGCATCTCTGTCATGTACGACATATTTGACAGATTTTTGTTCCCAGCACGAATGCAGTACGTTATTAGTGAAGTCAAAGACATTACCCATATACATTACCATCAGAAGATAGCTTTTCTTTCTTGGGTCTATTAAATGTGTGTGCTTTTTGCCCTGATCCCTTCCCTCCTACCCCCTCCTATACAGTCTAGTATCCACAGTTGCCCTCCCTGCTATTACACCTTCCAATCTTCCAATCTTGCCATTTCTGAACTTAGCTGCTTTTCAAGTTTGCATCTACATAAAGTACCAAAAGGCCTTGTGTTTGGTAGTTTTATTATGCTAGACAAAATGTACTGATTTTACGTACGTGTGTTCATCCTTATGAAGGGAATGCAAAGCTGGAGACCAGTGTGCTGCCTGCCTTTGAAGAACTGGGCACAGTTGAGAGCTAACAGGAGAGCTAACCTCTCATTGGGGGTTCTCTCCAAAGAGCATTTGGTGGAAGGACCACTGAGATGGAGAGGCCACCTGGCTTTAGAGGCTAGTAAAGGGAAACCTGGACATGGACTCCTAGCCCTAACCCTAACCCTAACCCTACTAGGATTTAGGGGTCAGGGGGCTCTGTAGGGTTTCTAACGTAAAGCAGAAATGACTGATTCCCTGCTGGTTCCTTTGACAGAGCACAAGGTAAAAGTGAATATTGACTAAATCCAAAGCGTCAGGTTTCTTGAGCCAGTTGCCACCAAGATAAGGCGATTTGGATCCTCTAGTGATTCTTAAATATTAGACTTGCTAAAACACAGATAGCCACCCCATCTCCAGAGATGATTTAGTAGGTCTGGAGTGGGACCTGTGCCTTTGCATTTCTGTTGGTAGGTACTGGTGATGTTGGTCCAGAGGTCACACTTGGAGAACCGCTGCTCAGAAAGAACCAAAGACGTGAGCTTCTAGGACAAATAAAGTCAACAAAGGGAGCTGTCTATTTTACCTTTCAAAGTTATCACCTGGAAAGGACTCTAGGCGGGTCCTGGTTCACTTTGTTAGTTCCATGTTTTCATATTCACTTGTCATGTCTGGCGAATGGAAAACACGAGGCATATGGTCACTTTACTGCCTTCAACATGGACGCTTAGGTCTAATCAGAAAGGTGCTGGCAAACGAAAGATGGTATCGGTATGTGTCATTCTTATTTCCTGGTGCCACGGAATTTTCTCATTTTGAAACCCTTTTAATTTTTCCTCATAACATCCGTCCAATTTAATCAGGGAGAGGAGGGAGCGCTTACTGATTTGCACTTTAGCCTTGAGCTGGTTGCCTAAGGCTTCCGTTTCCTCATTAGGGCAAATACAGTGATAACATTGGTCAACCTCAAGGATACGTGGGTTAAGGAAGTTCTCTTTGGTGGTGGTGGTGGCGGTGGTGGTGGTGGTGGTGGTTGGGGGGAGGATGGATTTTAATTGTTAGTGATGAAGTGCAGTTTTAATGAAAAGAGACTTAGAGTAGTAAATTCTGTCTTCCAGTATTAAGTATGTGTGTGTGACTTTTTTTAAGTGACTAATGCTTGAGGCAATTATACAAACATAAAGAACTCTACAGATATTTCCTGTGCTGTCTAATGCTTACTACTTTGTTGGTGCCTAATCATAGTTAAGTTTGATGTGGCAGCAAAGCAAAGGTCTCCCTTCCCTCTAATAAAGTAGCTCAGTAAAAGAGGGGATTAAAGCTTATTTGTTATAATCCTTAACACCACCAAACCTCCGCTTTAATAATACAAGTTTATTGTCTCTAGCGGTTCGCTGGTGCTTTACCTAAGGTGGCTAGTATGCAGAGGGTTATTGCAGTTTCCACTTTTAATAGGCATGTGTGGAGGGGCTGTGCTCCCCAGGGTAGGCCACTCTGAGTGCCCGTTAAGAGTCTTAATTCCTTCATCTAAAATTGGGGCTGACCTTGATGATCCTAGGGCCCTTTCTAGCTTCAAAAGTTCTGATTCTGTTCTTGTTACAGCTAGATGTATCAAATAATTCTAAACGTGCTCTGCATTTAAATATTTTGTCTAGAATATTTGGAAATGGGGTCATTAAAATCAATTATGGGCAAAATTAGTAATATATACATATACCATATATAGTTTATGCATTTTCAAAGAATTACTAAGTTCAGCAGAAATACTACCATGTATAATTTCTGCCTTTGATTCAGAGGATAACTTACTATTCTATGGTTTTCCAAGGTCAGCAGTATGGGTATTAGTTCTCTCTAGACAGAAAGGTGATGCAGCATAGGCATTAATTAATCCAAACGTGTTGACTTAGAAGCTGCTTTTTTTGGCAATTATCAGTCACATTAATTTTTTAAATAATTATTTATTTATTTTAATTTGACCAGAGAGGGACAGTGTATGTGTGTGTGTGTGTGTGTGTGTGTGTGAGAGAGAGAGGGGGGGGAAGAGAAAGCAAGCAACTAGGTCTGAGACTTGAACTGTGGTCAGCCATGTGGGAGTCCAGTGCCCTTTAACCACCGTGCCACCTGCCGGCCCCCAGTCACGTTAGTTTTGAAACAAGGGACAGATAGAAAAATGGGTGAAGTTACTGTATAATATTCTGGCTAAAAGAAGCCTTACAGATAAGTGTCTGGCTTTATTTTGTTTTGATTTGCCAGAGGGTGCATTCTCTCACAGGACAGAGACAGAGAGAGAGAGAAAGGGGAAAGCAAGAAAAACACCTCCCCATGGGGGATGGTCATGCCTTAGTCCCTTCTTCACTTCTCCTTTTGGGATTTTTAGGCATGTACCCACATGCTCCTGGTGTAGTTTTCAAGCTGCTGGATCCACATGGTTGGCTATGAGAGATCCAGCCACCCTAATCACCAGGCCACTGGCTGACCCCAGGCCTTGTTCAGTATCTGAGGAAACTGAGGCCCAGGAAGAAGTGGCCCAGGAAGAAGCTCAAGGTTTTGATAAATAGTTAGGGATCAATATGATCAATGCTAAGCTAGAAGTTTGGAGGGAGGGAAGAGAGCTTGTGACCCAGGCTGGGACTAGAGTGTGACTGGGCCAAGAGAAAGTGCCCCAGGGGTGTTAAAAGCAGGCAAAAAAGGCCAGTGAAGGATCTTTTAGGCAGCATCAATTCTGAAAAACAAAAGCAAGAGAAGGAAGAAATCAGATGGGGGACTCTTCTAAAGAACGACGGGCTTAGGAGCCAGCCCATGGCCTGGTGGTTAGGGTGGCTGGATCCCATATGGCCGGCTGTGTGGTTTGAGTTCTGAACCCTGGGGCTTGAGAACACACTGAGTGCCTGTGAATGCCCAAAGTCCCAAAGGAGGGTGAACTGGAGGAAAAGGGATTGTGGTGTGACCATTCCTCATGAGAAGTATTTTCTTGCTTCTTCCAGCCCATACCCCAGTGAGTGCATGAACCCTCTGGCAAAATTAGTAATAATAATTTAAAAAGCTGTGCTAAGTTCAGAATGTCTGGTGAGTGTAAGGGCCTTCATAGGCTAGAGTCAGATCATGGGAGCTTGTCTCATATGAAAAGTAAAGGTAATCCCATGCACAGGACCCCAAATTTAACCTGTTAATAAGATCTCTCTGATAGCAATGTAGAAACTGACTTGAGCATACTGGGCTGAAAGCTAATTAGGAGACTATCTTACAAACAGGAGATGATTCAAATCAGGACAGAGGCAGAGGGATAAAGGCAGAGGCCAATGTACAGTACATGGCTGCATTTAAGACGAGTCTAATCAGCATCACAAAGGAGCAGTTTCCAAGCTTCACTAGAATTGTAATGTTTCTCTGTAAGAGTATACAGGGAAGAATTGTCAAGAAAATACTGCAAAAAAAAAAAAAAGAATCACAAAATGGAACTTGTATTAACACATATTAAAACTTACTATTGAGGCCAACAGTTGGTGTAGTAGGTAAGGTGCTGGATTCCCACATGGCTGACCATGGTTTGAATCCCAGATCCAGTGGTTTGAATATCACATGAGGAGCGTGTGCATGCGTTCCCAAAATCCTGAGAGGAGAATGGAGGAGAAGGGATTGTGGTGTGGTCATCCCCCCTTAGAGTGGTGCTTTCTCACGTTCCCTCTCTGTCTCTCTGGTGAGTGCATGTGCTCTATAGCAAACACTTAAAAAATGTATTAAAAAATTAAAACCCCTGAAATTTATTGTCTCATGGTTCTGGAGGTTGGAAGTCCAGAGTCAGGGTATCAGCAGGCCATGCTACCTCCAAAGGTGCTGGAGAACGATCCTTTCTTGCCTCTTCCTTGCTTTTTTTTTTTTTTAAGAGGTTTTCGCTATAGGGCGCGTGTGCTCGCCAGACAGACAGAGAGAGACAGAGAGACAGAAAGCGAGAACCTCCAGGCCGAGACAGAGAGACAGAAAGCGAGAAATCACCCTCCAGGGGGGATGGCCATGCTGCAATCCC